TCTTGGAGGACCCGTGTAATCTGCTCCTTGAGATCCTCGGGGAGATTTGCTCCAATTCTGACCATCCTCGAAGAATCACCCGGGTGAAGTTCGATTTCCACCGTCTCAGCCTCGGGTTCCAGTTTCTCCCGGGTCTCTCCCTTTGTGATCTCTTGGGAGATGACATTGACCCCCCTGGTCATTTTCTTGACTGCCCGGGCATAGCATTCCCGGGCGTTCCTCTGGTCGCCCTTCACCTCACCCACACCACCTGGAGTGTGGAACTTCATGCATAGATGAGGCATGGAAATCACCGCCCCGACTTTATTGATGCCTGGCCTTCCTAGAATTGCGTTGTGGACGCATTTGATGTCCACAACTATGAACCGCATCTTCTTCCACACGGTCTTTTCACCCGATCCTAGTTCGACCGGTAGAACTATGGATCCTTCAGCTTCAACGGTGTCCCCCGTGAAGCCTGAGAGAGGGGTTTTGAGGGGTTCAAGTTGTGTTCGACACAACCTGAGTTTCTAGAAGTCTCCAGGTATAAGATGTTTACACTGCTACCGGTGTCAACAAGTACCCGGGCGACATCCACCCCATTAATGTCCATGGTGATGACCAATGGATCATTGTGATCTTCACCGGTAGGAGGGAGATCCCGGTCAGTAAAGACGATAGGCTCCCTCCTAGTATGCTTACGCTTGGGCGGTTCAGCACTTACCTCTCCAACGTAAATGCTCCGGACCCAATTCTTCCGCTGCGCGGCTGAATCTCCACCCTCGGGTCCGCCGAAGATCATGCTGATGTGTTCTTTTAAGGGGGCAGGTTGCCGCTCCCTTGGCCGGTTATTCCTCCGCCGGTCATTGTCCCGGTCATTCCCTGGGGCAGTTGGCCTAACCCACTGATGACTCTTCTCCTGGGCTTTCTGCAAGTAATCTTTGCCCAGCTCTCCACTGTCGATCATCTGCCGGATGACCCCTTTAACACTCTTGCATTCGGAGGTGTTATGGGAATCAGACCTGTGGTACGAACAATAGGTGCCCGACCACTGCCGCCCTACTTGAC